GGTCAGAGAAAAAGAGGAAGACCCCCAACGAGATGGATCAGCCAGGTGGCATCATTGATGGACTCAAGCGTGGCAGCGGTATGGCACCTGACAACAACTCATGACTTGATGTATTATTTTTATAATCAGCAAATGGGGGAGAGAAGGTTGAATGTTGTCTAGAAACAGTGAGGCACAAAAAGCCCTCATGCCCCTCAGAGATTATATTTTGGTTTATTTCCTGATGGTGCAGTATCAGTTGTTCATTTACTTTACATGTGTTGAATAAGGAACTCTCTGGGTCCTAGGGTTGTAGGGAATAAGGAATAGAGAGGTTCTTGTCCAAGTCTTACTACCAACCTCACTACCACCACTGTCACCATCACCTCCACCTCCCAAATTACTACCACCCACACAACCACCATCACTATGACCAACATCATCATTACCACCACCTCCATCACCTTCACTATGACCATCATCATCATTACCATCATCACCATCTCTATGACCATCATCATCACTACTATGACCACCATCATCATCATCATCACCCTCACTATGACCATCATCATCATCACCATCATCACCCTCACTATGACCACCGTCACCATCATCATCACCATCATCACCCTCACTATGACCACCGTCACCATCATCACCCTCACTATGACCATCATCATCATCATCACCTCCATGACCATCACTACTATCACCTGGATAGTAACTGTGCTGAGGAAGGTGGGTCCTGGGGTGTATGCTATTCTGGGTGCTCACACACTTCCATCCTTGAGGGGGCTGTTCTAGTGGGGAATCAACCGCTCTGTAGTCATGGATGTGGCTGGTAGGCAGATCTGAAGGATGCAACTCTGTCCACTCCCAATGTACAGGGGCTTTCTACCCTCATGGTCTGGAACTCCCAAGGGCAGAGGAGGGAAGCGGTCGGGGGCCTCAGGGTCCTGGTAGTGCCCACCACCTCCACCAGCACTCAGGAGGTGGCCAGAGCTGCACCTTTCTAGAACAAGCGAGGCAGCCCGGATCCCGGAGTCTCTCTCGGGTGTGGGGCTATCCTCTCCATTCTAAGTAAGCCGTGGGGTCCACGGGCAGCTGCTCACCTGGCGTTTCTGCGTGTCCGAGGCGACGTTGTCCCACCACAGCCGGAAGAATTCCTGCTCCACTATGATGAAACGGCGCTGCGGCCCTCGGCTCAGCTCCTCCACCACAGAGCTGTAGACGTTGGCAGCGTATGCCCGCATGCTCTCCTGGGGAAGGGTCACCAAATACCAGTCCTGAGGACCCACGGGAAAGATGCACTGCGACAGAATGCTCAATGAGGACCAGGCACGGGGAGATATGCTCCCCTGAGGGGCAGCACAGGGCACGAAGAGATATGCTCCCCTCCCGGGGGACAGCAGAGGGCACGGGGAGACATCGGGGATGGGGGCAGCAGAAGGCACAGGACACGTGCTCCCTGTGCCGGGGTGGGGCAGACAGGCGTAGCAGGGGTCCTGCGGTGGGAAGGGGGATTGTAGGGCTGTACAGGCATGGCCCAGTGACCACAGAGGGAGCCCCCGGCTAGCAGTCCGGTTTCCTTTCTGTTTTGAATTTCGGGATCTGCAGCAGCTGAGAAGCAGGAGGTCAGATGGCACAGGGTCATTCCCCAGTGATGCTGGCCAGGAGCTGCCCTCTCGGGCCTCAGCTTCCCCTTCTCTAAAGTGGGCAGTAGCACACGTCCACCTCTTAGCAACTGGAGCTGACCCTCAGCATCCAAGTCTCCCCTGTTGCTCAGTAATGGGATCTAGAGCCACAGGGGTCCTAAGGGGTGGCAGAGAAGTGTTCCCTGAGGCCTGGGTAGCAGCCCTGAGGCCGGAGGGAGCAAGGCTCCTTGGGTCTCACTTGTCTCTCTTCATTCACCACAACGATTCATTCAACAGCCCGCACAGGCCCGAGGAACAAGGTCAACAAAATACGGGATGTCTGGTTATCCATAGAGACCACCGCTCAGGGACATGCAGGATGGAGGGGTGGTCTCAGAGAGGGGATCCGGAAGGGGCACATCCTAAAGGGAGAGAGGGCTGAGGTCTCTGAGAGGAATGTTTGGCAGAACAACCAGTGCAAAGGTCCTGGGGCAGCGGAGGAAGAGCAGGAGGTCAGAGTGGCTTCAGCCAGTGAATTGGGGAGGGACAGGAGAGACTCTACTGCCTGAGGGGTTGCCGGGACTAGAGGTACGCGAGTTGATTCTACTAGTGGGGGGCATAGGCTAATGGAAGTGGAGGTCTCCCTTGCTTCTCTCATTCCAGGGGTGGAGGAGATCACGAAGGCAGCCTTGGCTGGGTTTTCTAGAATTCTGAGGTGGCCCCTGTGCCAGTCCATCTGACAATCTGACCTCCCTACCTCAGCCCTGGTGCATGGAGAACATGCATGGTTCTTGTCGCTCCCAGTGGGGAAAACCAGTAAGTCCAGGGGCAGGGTCTATGGCCCAGGTGCTGAGCCCAACCAGCCAAGCCAGGGCCACTGTCTGGACTGGCTTCCGCCTACAAGGGGACTCTGCCCAGCAGCTGATCTCATGTGACCTGAAGCCAGCCCCACCCTCCTGGGGGCCTACCACTGCCACCCCACATGGGGGCCCCTAGTACAGGGTTCTCACCCTCTCTCCAACCCGGAACACAGCAGCCATTCAATCCAAGTCTCACCCAACAGAAGAGGAAGCCGAGGGTCAGGGAGGACGCAAGTCTTGAAGGGTTCCCCAGACTCCACCACCTCCAACCTTGCCCTCAGGGATGGGGAAACTGAGGCTTGGAGCATGAAGTGACCAATCCAAGGTCAGTTTGTCAATCAGCTGAGGCAGATTCCGGCTGGAACCCAGGCTGACCCTTCATTCTCGGGTTTGTTGTTGTTATGTTTCCGAGGCTGTAAATCTTTACAGGAGCAGAAAGCCTCATCTTTCTCCCACGGAGAAGCTGGTAGTTTCGAACTGCTGACCTTGGGGTTAGCAGCCCGATTCGTAACCACTACGCTATTCTCAGGTGGCTGGGTGCAAATACACAAGACGATGCCCGCAGGTTAGAGACTGCAGCTCTGGGACGTGGGGGCGCAGGCGGCCACCTACCTGGACCGTGTAGACCCAGCCCACGTCCATGTGACTGTGGGGCACCACAAAGGCCCGGATGGGGTCCGCGGGCTGGACCCCCGGCGGTCGCAGCAGCACGAGCAGCGCAGGCAACCAGCGCAGCAGCCCCATCACGCGGGATCCGCAGTGCCGTAGGCGCGGGCTGAGCGCTGGACTCGCTTCCGGGTCCGCCGGGTTGGGGCGGGGCGGCGGGACCACGGGGACGGGGCACCGCCCCCGGGACAGCATGGAGGGGCTGGGCGGCCCAGGCCGCTGGCTGGAGCTCTGGCTCCGCCCTTATGCCCCGGATTGCTAGTCTTTTGGTGCGTCCTAGGGGCCAGACGGAGTCCTGGTGGAGTGCAGTGGTTTAATGCACTGGACCAGAAGGTCGGTTTGAACCGCAAGGTCGATGGTTCAAATTCACCAGCCACTCCTGGGAAACTCTATACAAGGTAGCTATGACTCGGAACCGACTGGATGGCATTAACAGCAACACCAGGAGCCAAATCCCAAATGCCACCTTCTCCGGGAAGTCTGCCAGATTTCTCCCAGCCTCTCCCCGTGCGCGTCCCCTGTTGCTACTTGCGTGTCACCCCTCCCCCCAACCTCCACCTCCAGACTCGGCTCCCTGCTGCTTTGTGGCCCAGGTCCACTTCTCCTCGCATGCCTTCCTGGTGCCCTGGTCCATCCATCTGGTGTGCCCCTCCATGGTTCATGTCCACCCCTATGTGTCTCCATGGTCTTGTCCACTCCCCTGTGTGGACCCATGGCCTTGTCCACCCCTACCCCCCGTGTGTGCTCCCTTGTGGCCCTCGTCCATCCCTGTGTGCCCGCATGACCCTCATCCACTCTTCTCATGTGACCCCTCCATTGGTCTCGTCTACTCCTTGTATACCCCCCACGGCCCTCAGCCACACACCTGTGTGTCCCCCCCTTGGCCTCATTTGCCCCTTGTCTGCTGCCCCCAGGATACTTGTCTACACCTCTCTTGTGCTCCCATCTGAGCTTGTCATGGGGATTGTTGGCCCTGCTTCAGTCTGCCTGGGGATTTGAAAATTAGATCTGGGCTGTAGGTGGTGACCTAAGGCAGGGACTGTGGCCTTGAAGGGTCAGCTCAGGGCCCAGAAGATGAAACGGTGAGGAGAGGAGAGTGAGGTGAGAATGTGGAGGGAGGAGGGGAGAACAGGGCCTCTCTGATCTTCCTAGAGGACAGGGGTCAGCGGGTTTGGCTATACTGCTGGACACATGTTGGCGTTCTCCAGGGGGTCCAAGCTTTGGTCCTGACCCTCACCCTGCTGGCATCCTTGGAGCCCGCTCCTTCCCCCAAAGTCCCAGGCTTTACTCATTTCCCTGAAGTTCTAGTCCAGATGTAGATGGTGTTTACTAACCTCTGGTCCTTGGGCCCACTTCCGACCCCTAAAGTTCCAGGCCAGGTGTGGAGGTGCTCTCCAGCATCTGCTCTGGAGCTAGAGGGTCAGAGTTGATACTCAGGTCTGGTCAGTTTTCCACAGAACACAGCAGGTTGTCTGTTTCTCCTGCTGTTGTCCTTGGTTGGTGTCCAGCTGACTCCAAGTCACGGTCACCGCAGGTGTGCTGTGTACAATAGCAGCTCAGAAGATGTTGGAAAGCGGATTGCCGGGTCCTTCTCCTGAGAGGCTTCTGGAGGGTTTGAAAATGCCAACCTTTGAGCCAATAGCTCACTTTTGTTCAGCAGTTCCTTCCAGGCAGCCTCCTGGACGTTTTATATGTATGAACCCATTCTCAGTAACTGCATGTGCCAGGAAGGATTACTGTCCCGTTTTACAGATGACAGCCAGACATATAACCCGCCCCAAACCTCACAGTTAATCAAAGGCAGAGCCAGGGCTCAAACCACACACAGCGTTGAGGTGTCCCTGTCCTATGGAGGGTACAGAATTACAGAATGGTGGCTCTGTGGTCGGCTGCCCACTGCAGACCTCCTCTTCTGTGAGGTGTGTTCCTGGGTCCATGGGAGGCTCTGGGGGCACCAATCTGGAGGACATCAGTAGCCATGCCACGAGACCATTCAAGCAGCTGGTGGTGAGGTCCATCTGGAACTGTGTGGAGCTCAGACCTCCCACCCACTACGACAGACCCCAAACCAGCTTCAACCAGCTGAGCCACTCTCGAGCTGTAATTCTTTACAGGAGTAGTCCAGTGATTGCTCTACAGTGCCACCAAAGCTCCCTGCTTTGACCCATTGTTGTTAAATACCATTGAGTTGGTTCTGACAAATAGTGACCCTGTATGGGGTGTCTGAGGAGCAGCTGATGGGTTTGAAACGCTGACCTTGTGATTCGCAGTCCAGTGCTGATCCACAGCGCCACACCAGGAGTCCCTTTGGCCTGTGGAGTTTCTCAAATACAAAAGTATTCGTTATAACTTGCTGAATGATCTCTCACAGCTGGCAACAGAAACATCGATGTTGACCAGAAACTGCCCAGTGGCGCCCTCTTCAGGTGACACTCAGGATATTTGCCCCACCAGGCCACACCTGCCATATGTGCCATGCCAGCTTTACTGTGGTTCCCCTCTCCCCAGTTCTGGCTCCCAGAGAAGTACTGGAGGAGGGGGCAGTCCCATCTGCCACGTGGTGTGGTGGTTTCAGTCCCTCAGTGGGCTCTGGGTCTGGAAACTGGCTCAGAGCTGGGGAACAGACAGGGAGTCTGACCTCTCAGGGCTGCTGCCTTCAGCTTCCCATCACCCATCCTTGGAGTCTTCTGAGAGCCAGACTGGGGTTTCCTAGCAACCATCTATAGCTCTCAGCTTTCCTGACAGCTATCGCAGGGATCCTGTTCCTGGGAGCTGGTAAAGCCACCTGCCGCCTTCAGTCCTGGCTCAGAAGACAGTCTTGGGGCTGCTCGGTCCTGCACCGTCCTCAGTTCAAGGCCACGTCTGCATGCAGAGCTGCAGTTGCTGTTCGTCTATCTCACGGAGGGCTTCGCGGGGTTTTGCGTAGCTTAGTGGTTACGAATTGGGCTGTGAACCGCAAGGTCAGCAGTTCGAAACTACCAGCTATTCCACGGGAGAAAGAGGAGGCTTTCTGCTCCTGTAAAGACGTACAGCCTCGGAAATTCTGTACAGTGTCGCTATGAGTCAGAACCGACTCCACGGCACATACCCACCGCCACAGCTTCATCAACCACAATGCCATTTCCTAAGGACTGCTGTTTGCTGACAATGTGTCCAAAGTGAGCAAGACAGAGTCTCTTCAGCCTCACTGCTGAGGTGCATTCTGGCTGTACAAGGGGGCTTCAAATGGCATGAAAAAATGATGAATATTGCCCTTGAACTTTTTGAAGCCCCTTCACGTTTCTTGTACAATTGATTTGTTCATTCTGCTTCAGTCCTTGTTGGTGTTAAGTGCTGTAGGGTTTCCAAGGAGTGGCTAGTGGGTTTGAACCACCGGCCTTGTGCTGACAGCCCATGGTGTATTCAATATTCTTTGTCAACACCACAGTTAGAACACACAAATTCTTATCTTCCGTCTCCTCAGGAAACACCCACTGAGTTCCAACCATGCCAGCTCTGTGCTGGATGCAGAGGGACAGGGGACAGGAGGTGCTACTGCTCGGGTGCCCTCTGGGTGGGACAGGCCATGGATGTGGGGACACTGCTCACAGCAGAGGAAACTGGGCTGGTGCCGCAGGGGTGGTTCCTGGGGAAACTTGGAGACCTTCCTGGAGGAGGCAGAGAGAGGGCCAGAGGCTTAGAGGGCACAGGGAACAGGGTGGGCATGGTCCTGGGTGGGGTGTGTGTGGGTAGGGTGCTTGGGAGACAGCCACTAGGTTTTTAAATGGAGGGACGAGGGTCTGGGAGCAGAACCAGGCAAGGTGGGTGGTCCACCCTCAGCCTGGTCCTATGGGTACTGATGTCTTAGTGCCACAATGGCGACATTTGGGGTGTTCATGTGGGCCAAGGCAGCTGAGACCTGAGGTGGATCACTCTCGGGGTACCCCCTCTCCACCTGTCAGGCTCTGACCCTGAGATGGACACCATGGGGGTTAGAGAGGGCCCCTCCCCCCCCATCATGCAGGGTCCAGCTTGGGGAGAATTGGGGGATCTCAGGGATAGGGGCACACAAAGGGTCTCGGACACTGCCCATAGTCCGGAAGCTGAGACCACCTTAGCCACTTACTGGGGCCCTGGGGGAGCAGTGGATTAAATGCTGGACTGCCAGCTAACCCAAAGGTCAGTGGTCTAAACTCACCAGCTGCCACTGGCTTCCCTAAAGGTTTGCAGTCGGGGAAACCCTCGGGCGGCTGTTCTCTGTCCTTCAGGGGCATGTGAGTCAGAATGCACTGACTGCAGTGGGTTTGGGGGTTTGGGGGTTTGGTTGCTGACTTTACCTGAATCCCCGCCTTCCCACCCACCCAGCCAGCCTCAGTTTCCCCTGAGATGAAAATCCCAGGGACGGGTCTGTGGCACGTAAGGAGGTGGCTTGAATCTGGCTGGGCAGTGTGGACAGCTGGGTGCGTGAGCTTCTTAGTCCAGCACCCACACTGCATGAACCCCACATCCCACATCTGTACCCCCGCCCACATTGCATGAACCCCACATCCCACATCTGTATCCCCGCCTACACGCATGAACCCCACATCCCACATCTGTACCCCAGCCTACACGCATGAACCCACATCCCACGTCTGTATCCCCGCCTACACGCATGAACTCCACATCCCACGTCTGTATCCCAGCCTACACGCATGAACCCCACATCCCACATCTGTATCCCAGACTACACTGCCTGAACCCCACATCCCACATCTGTATCCCCGCCTACACGCATGAACCCCACATCCCACATCTGTATCCCCGCCTACACGCATGAACCCCACATCCCACATCTGTATCCCCACCTACACACATGAACCCCACATCCCATATCTGTATCCCATCCTACACGCATGAACCCCACATCCCACATCTGTATCCCAGCCTACACACATGAACCCCACATCCCACATCTGTATCCCAGCCTACACGCATGAACCCCACGTCCCATATCTGTATCCCCTCCTACACGCATGAACCCCCACATCCGACGTCTGTATCCCCGCCTACACGCATGAACCCCACATCCCATATCTGTATCCCATCCTACATGCATG